AAACCTGCCTCAAATCTCAGCAGGATGGAGATGAAGGCAGGAAGACTACAGTGGGACCATACCCCACTGGGGGTGTTTTCTCTCTTTTTATCTTTATTCTGATGAATACACGCACTCTCTGGCAATTATTATTTTTTTTTTTAAGGCTTTTTTTTTTTTTTGGGGGGGGGGAAGAGATTTTCACTGTAGGGCGCGTGCGCTCGCCAGACAGACAGAGAGAGAGACATAGAGACAGAAAGCGAGAAATCACCCCCCAGGGGGGATGGTCACGCCGCAATCCCTTCTCCTCCATTCTCCTCTCGGGATCTTGGGCACGCATGCACACGCGCCCGGTGTGAGTGTAAGCCACCGGGTCCGGGACACGAACCGCGGTCGACTACGTGGGAGTCCAGCGACATAGCCATTACGCTAACTGCTGGTTCCCTCTGGCAATTATTTTTAAAAAAGAAAAAGAAAAAAGAAACAAACAAAAAAAAACCCACAATTTTTTAAGTTACAAAAAATTCTATTCTAATTAGTTTCAGTAGTTGCAATAAAGTCTAAGAGGAGGCCTAAATGAAGCTATATGAATTATAAAACTACAACAATGACGTAAAGGAAGCAGATTGCGAAGAGTTAAATGTCTGTTTTAGTTTTTTTTTTTTTTTTTTAAAAAAGTGAATTCTGGCATTTATATCCTGATGTGTCCATAAAAACTAGTAATATTTCCTCTCTTGTAACCCAATCTCTGGCAGAGGGAGTGTGGTAAAAGGTTCTACTTAACTAAAATCTTCATCATCTGGGGAAGATGACTGGGAAGACGGATGCCTGCCCAACTGCTGTCTGACAGGGCTATTTTTGGATAAGGTCTGCAAAGGTGATTTGCAAACATTAGACCTATTAATGCTGTGGGGAGGTAGAGCTAAGAGTACCTATTACTTTGTATAAATGCTACTTAATAAAATAACTAATCCCCTCTTACATGTATCTGTGACAACGAATGAACCAGTTAAACTTGATATTTGTCCTAACTTGTTTCCCACATTTTTTTTAAGCAGTACCATTCCTGATGGTTGAATTACACACTTACATATGAATGGTAAATTATATACCTTGGGTAATTCTGCCTTTTGCAAGTCCTTAAGAACCGTCTTGCTTATTTTTTATTATTGTTTTAATCAATGCACCATAAACTTGGCCAAGTGAACATTCTTTTCAGAAAATTACATATTGGGTAAAAAGAGCCCACAAATTCTTGACATTGATTCATCTTTCCCAAATCGTGAGTTTCACAAATCTCATGTCCCCCACCCTAAAAGTACCCTACAGTTATTTAAATATCCCTTTTCCTCTGTTCTCCTCTAGGGACTTTTTTTTGGCATGCATACACATGAGCCCAGCATGGTTTCTGAGCTGCCATGTCTAAGGCTCCAACCACAGTCAACCATGTGGGAGTCCAATACCTTAAGTACTGTAACATCTCCTGGGCCCTATATAAATACTCTAAAAAGAAAGACAGTGAACATGTAAGAGATTTTCTAGATAAACAAGAGTTGACTCAGTTTTTAAACGATAGCATACTATTTGCCAGACTCAATGCTAAAAAAGTACATTCTTGATATTTGTGAGAAAAAAATTAAATATTTAACTCATAATTTTGAAGGCCATATGTATTCTAGTCTTCTGGGTGCTTGAATCATTTAATGACTTCTTAAGAGTAGCTTCCAGTGTGTGTGTTTCTGTGTGAATACATGAGTTATTTGGTTTACTAAAAATATTTTCAGACATACAATGCCAAATTTCTATCTTTTAGCTCATTTCTCCTTTTATTCATCCCCATTAGTCAACAGACACTCCTACCGAGAAACATGTATTCTCTAGTCATTGCTACAACTTGCTGACAGAGTAATGAAAGTGACGAACTACTGATATAAAATATAACACATTTCTACTAGATAAGGAATGGATAGTTCCAGATACAGATTCCTGTGTTTATTTTTTTTAATTTTTGTTTTTAGGGATTTTTGTTTCTTTTTAAACGGAATAAAAACAGAATTGCCATAACTCAGTAAAAAAGATCAGAAACCTAAAAATATTTATAACAGTGTCAAACAGGGTTAAGCCTCTGAAAGTTGAAAAGTAATAAATTACATTCTCTAGGCTATGAAAATAAAAGAGCCAGTATACGAACATGTCACAAGTAAAAAAGTGGTCTTGAAAGCTTAAAAATAAAATGTGTATCATGGGAAATGATTTTCTTCCTGATTTGACACAGTGTCATATAAATAAGAGTTTTTGATGAGAATTTATAAGAAAAGTCTTCCTCTAATTGATTCTTATTAAAGAACACAAATCTGAAAAGTGCCATTTCTAATTTAAGACTCTATTATTTAATAAGTATCAAAATGTAAGATTAATAATAACAAACTTGATAAGTTACCAAAGTTTATCTTTATTCTCCAAACTAAAACTGATAAGCCATTTTATTGTTGTTTGAGAATGTGATCTGAGAACAGGCCAAACCAAAGCTATTTGGCAACAATTTCTGGCAGAAGAAAAATAATTTCCTTTTTAATAAAATTATTTATTTATTTATTTTTAAGTTTGCTATAGGGTATGTGGGCTCACCAGAAAGAAAGAGAGAGAGAAAAAGCAAGCCACCCAGATCCAGGACTCGAACAGTGGTTGGCCATGTGGGAATCCAACACCTTAACGACCATGCTACCTGCTGTCCTCAATAAAGAATTCTTTATAACTTAAAATATTTATGGTAGTGGTCAGCAGGTGGCATGATAGTTAAGGCACCTGACTCCCACATAGCTGATGACGGTTGGAGTCCAGGACCCGGTGGCTTGAAATTTATGGCAAGCACATGTGCATGTGTGCTCAAAATCCCAAGAGAAGAATGGAGGAGAAGGGATTGTAGCATTGTTCCCTATGAAGGGTGATTTCTCACTTTCCTTTTCTCTGTCTCTGTTTCTCTCTGGCTAGTGCATGTGCCATATGGCAAAAAACTAAAAAGAAAAAAAAAAAATCATGTTAATTAAAAATTACCAAGCAATGAATAAATGTTATAAGCTTAAGAGAACAACAGGTTTTATTAAACCTACATCATAACTACTCAGAAATAAGAATAAAAGCAATAACAGTAGCAAATACATTGAGTGTTTTTCTGTGTGTAAAAAATAGTTGCTGACCTACTTATTCAACTGCTAACTACCTTGTCCATTTTGTGTATATTTCTATAATAATAGGTACTTTAGGTCATGGTTAAAAACAAATATTAAAATTTTATTTATAAATAACATAATATTGAAATTAAAGTTCCTGTCCCAGCCACAGTGGTGCACAGAGCACCACCACTTGGAGGGTGGAAGCCATATGACAGGTCCTGGTACAGTTTCTGGGCCATTCTGAACAAACAGGTGTGAATGCACACACCTGCAATCCTAGCTAATTGGGAGTGTAGGACAGAAGGCAAGATTTTGTCAAAAAAAACCCCAAAACATTTCTGTTTCTCTTACTTCCTTCCCCTCTTTCGTAAAGGAAATAGAAAAAAAAAGTAAAGAAAAATTAGTTTCCACTAGTCAATATATTTTGTTGGAACATTTCTATGAATTTTTGCATAGAAAAATACATCATGACTTTTCTGACAACCTGATATTTTAGATGGATTATAACTAAAACCTAAAACATTTTAAACTTTAATGTACAAATAGATGAAAACAAACGTTTTATATGAGTAAATCTAGGCAGATGGTCTAATGTAGTTAGTAAGCATATGGGTTCTGGTGTCAAAATACCTGAGTTCAAATCCAGATTCTGCTGACGACTAACTAGGTTTATACAAGGAAATTCTATTTTTTAACCTCATTTTCCTCAAATATAAAATAAAAATAATGTACCTTCCTTAAAAGATAACCATAGGAATTGATTGACCAATGTTCTATGACCATTAGCATACATATGACTATATGCTTCTACAACTTTAATGGCCTTCAACAGGGAAGAAAAGGTCCCAGTAACCTTCAATGAATGATTTTCTTGTACTTAATTCTTATCTTCCTATACAGTACACATACCAACATATTCTATGGTAGAAGTCTTTTATTAAATTGGAGGAGTGGTATAATGGAGTGAACTGTGTCCCCTTCTCAAGTCAATATGTTAAAGCTTTAATGACCAATGTCATTGGTATTTGAAGATGGGGCTTTAGGAGCTAATTAGGTTTAGATAAAATCATAATGGTGGGGCCTACAAATAAGATTAGTGCCCTAAAAAAAGGAACTTCAAATAGCCCAAACACATGCATTCTCTCTTTCTCGCTATTTCTATTTGTCTCTCTACCATGCAAACAGATAGGAAGAAGCCAGAAAGACAGTCCTCACAGAATGTGACCATGTAGTGCTGTGATCCTGAACTTCCAGTCCCTAAAACTTTATAGGAAAGTAAATTTCTGTAGTTTAAGCCATTCAGCATGTGGTATTTTATTTTTTTCAAGAATTATTTAATTTAACATTATTTATTTTAATTTGACCAGAGAAGGACAGAATGAAAGGGAGAGAGAGGCAAAGTAAGAAAACAAGCCTCCATGTCTGGAACTCAAACCACAGTCAGCCATGTGAAATCCAGTGCCCTTAACCACCACACCACCTGCTGGCCCCTATGGTATTTTTTTAATGGCAACCAAAACTGACTATTACAGGGGGTTGACATGCATCTTCAATGTTTAAATACAAAAGGGAAAGCGATTCTAAGTTTTTATTTTGCAAAGTTCATGAGACCCATGCAAATTCAGAGTAGTCAGTTTTCAAGCATTGCAGGTATGTCAAAATAAGCTATGGTCAGACAGACATCACAAACTTGTCTCAATGTAATTTATTTTTAAGACTGCAATATAAGGTTTCTTATGTTTCAAAAAGCTGCTTTAAACAGTTCTTGTTGGTTAAGTCATGGTCAGACAGACATTACACTCACGTTAAAATACAGTAAGCTGTAAGTTATAGCATAAAGATTCTTACCTTTTGTATCTGCCTGAAACTGTTCTAGATGGCTCCTGTAAAGTAAAAATTATAACAAATCAGTTTGAGTGTGTGTAAGTACACAATTACTGATTACATAAAACTGACAGAGAAAAATCTGTATTGTAAGAACAAATTTAGAGCACTTACCATGACTTTTTAAAAATTCACACTGCTGGTCAAACAAACCAAACTTTTTATATGAATTTTCAGCCCAAGGCAATTACTATTTAAAAATGTTTTAATATGGAAATATTGGTTTAGCTCAGAAAAATGGATGAGGGGGGCATCTCTCTTCAACCAGCTAGCATAAATCCTTTTGAAATTCAATGGGCATGTAAAAACACAGCCATTATAATTTTTGTATGTGCCCTACTTTGTCTCTTCTAATTAAAAAATAATCCTTATTTTTAAAAGTTAAGACTAACTATGAATTGCCACTGATGTTTTAAAACTATATGAGGGGACTCCAAAAGGTTCATGGAAAAAAGAAATTGAAATAAGAGTCTACTGTGGTGCAAGGAAATTTTTAAAACAATGCAGTGTTTTCATAATACACATTTTCCATGCACTTTTCGAAAACCCCTAGTATATACAGCAAAAAATGAAAAGTAAAAAAGTATGTGAGTGTGTTTTTTTTTTTTTTTTTCAGATTTTTAAAAAAATTTTTTTTGCCATAGGATGTGTGTACTCGCCAGAGAGACAGAAAACAAGCAATCACCCCCATCCCCCCAGTCCTTTCTACTCCAGTCTCCTCTTGGGATCTTGGGCATACACGCACACACACTCAGCCTGAGGTTGTTTTTTTTTTTTTTTTCCCCTAGAGGGGTTTTTGCTATAGGGTGCATGCACTTGTCAGAAAGACAGAGAGACAGAAAGCGAGAAATCACCCTCGGGGTGATGGACACACTGCAATCCCTTCTCCTCCATTATCCTCTTAGGATCTTGGGCAAGCATGCACACACACCTGGGGTGAGTTTAAGCTCCCAGGTCCAGGACTCAAAGTGCCATCGACTACATGGGAGTCCAGCGACATAGCCATTCGGCCAATTGCTCGTGCCCTCCTAGCCACAGGATCTGGGACTCAAACTGCAACCACATGGGAGTCCAACAACGTAACTATTACATCACCTACTGGTAGCTGAAAGTATTGTGCCAATTCTAAGCTATAAAATATGAAAATATAAAAATAAAATATGAGAAAACAAGCTGTCAGGTCTAGGACTCAAACCATAGTCAGCCATGTGAAAGCCCAGCACCTTAACTATCACACCACCTGCTGACCCCCCCGACAGTCAATCTTGATTTTAAAAAATAATTTTATTTATTTATTTATTTATTTATTTATTTATTTATTTTAATTTGACCAGAGAATATGGGAGAGAGAGAAATTGAGAAAGCAAGCAAGCCACCAGGCCTGGAACTCAAACCATGGTCAGCCATGTGGGAGTCCAATGCCCTTAATCACCATGTCACCTGTCGGCTCCTAATCCATCTTTTGATAGTCTGGGCTCTACAAATATTTTTATTGTTTCATTTTAGTGAAAACAGGTCAAAACCAAATGCCGAATCTTTTCAAAAAGTGATAATAACCTTTTTTTTCTAGTTAACGAGACTCTAAGAGACAGCCTACAATTAAACAATTTCTGATCTGATTCGAATAAAAGAATATGCTCCCTTGATAAGATGACTAGTCCAGAGTGAAACAGTAAATACTGACAGAGTGAAGCAATAAGATATGGCCAAGCGAGGAGACAGTACAGCAAAACCAGATCAAGGTGCAAGCAGACAGGCCATGCAGTAGCTGTGCACTGCAGTTGTGACGCCATCAGTCTCAGTCCCCTCATTCATAGCACAGAGTAACAGCAATACCCATCTCAGTAGGTTGCTGTGGAGACTAAATGATATGTGAGTAAAATGGTAAGCATAACCCCTTTATAACAGGCTTACAATTTAAATTTGATAGCTATAATTAAAAAGAAAAACTTAACTAGGATACAAAAAATTCTTTATCAATTTTCCTCTGTGGAATTTTAATACATATGTTGATTAGTCCAAGTCAAAAATCCCCATTACAATACCTGAATCATTTAGTTAAATACGTCACATTTGCTCAATGTTTAAGTACGTGTCTTTTCTAAGTAAAATATAAACTTCTGATAGATGGGGAGGCCCCATCCCCCACACTGATTCTCTTCTTTATTCCCCTAAACTCCAGCTTTACTAGTATGGAATATACTAACAACGTAGGAAAATGACAACCTTAGCAATCTGTAGTCACAGAAAAAGCACTGTTTGGGAAGTACCCAGTTGCAGGAAGCCACCGCTGACAAGATATTAGAGTGTCTACGTATGTGGCCTTGACCCCATGAACAGAACTACCTTTAGGGAAGCCAGGCTTTGGCAGTTGATAGAAAGATATTTTAACTATCCCTAGACACTAGCTGTTCATATAGTAGGGACAGCAAAATCCTAGCAAACAAACCTTTGAACAGAATCTGCCCGTTATCCAGGAAGTACCCCCTAATGAGAAGGCAGAAGAGTCTGAATTTTGCAAACTAAACATGTAGAACAGATCTCGTGTTTATAAAAGTACGGTATATCTAGTAACAGTGAAAAATGTACTTTATAAAATCTAGTTTTACATAGTGTCTAGCTAAATATATATGAGGGAAAAAACCAACAATGTCAGAATCTCCAAAACCAAGTTTCAACACAGCACGTCCTTCCCGTTCAGGTTCAATCTGAAGTCGTTCAGAACATGCCACCTCTGCCTGAGTGCCAGGCCCTCTCTTACTGAAATGGAGCACTAAGCACAATTACTAAATGAGAGCCATCCTTACTGGATTCACTGATTTGCGGTTCCTGGAGTATGAATTATATGAACAACCTGGCAGCAAACAGTCCTTCTGAGACTTGAATTAAGCATTTTCCATCATATGGTAAAACTTGATGTTTGGCAAGTTTGGCAAATAGGGGAATGTGAAATGGAGAACATTTTCAGCAGCACTAATCAACAGTGGCAGTGATTTATAGTTGGCAACAATAAATTACGTAAAGTTAGTATTAGACTAGTTTACAGTTAAGTGTCTTGATAGGAAGCCATAATAACAGCAGACGTCTACACTTCTTTACAGCTTTTTACATTTATTTTTGTAGAGAGAAATTTTTCCTACAGGGCTCACACACTCACCAGTGAGAGAGAAAGACAGAGAAACAGAAAGTGAGATATCACCCCATAGGGAGGATATCCATGCCACAGTCCCTTCTCCATTCTCCTCTCTGGATGTTGGGAGCACAGGCACCCAGTTTGAGTTTTACGCTGCTGGGTCCAGGAACCACAATCAACTACGTGGAAGTCCAGTGACATAACCATTATATCATCTACTGGTCTCAATAGATTTTTTATTTTTCATTATTTATTTATTATTTTAGAGATATTTTTGCTATAGGGCATGTGCGCTTGTCGGAGAGTCAGAAACAGAAAGCAAGAATGCATCTGAGGGATGATGGATGGCCACGTTGCAATCCCTTCTCCTCCAGTCTCCTCTTGGGATTTTTGGCACGCACGCACATGCACCTGGCGAGAGGTTTAAGCTGCCAGGTCTGGGACTCAAACCACAGTTGACTATGGGAGAGTCCAGCAACATAACCATTATGCCACCTGCTGGTCCCAACAGTTTTTATTTTTAAAACAACTAGTCACTTAAAACATTTCAGTAATTTTCACACAGTATTTTCTATTCTAACTAACTTGGTGCATTTGATAAAACAAGAACTCACACATACTTCAGTAAACTAAGCATCATTTTTTTAGAGTCTATTTTTGGTAGCTAAGCATTATTTTATAGTATCTCTAGTAATCAAATTACAAATCTTAACAATGGAATAGTCCCTAAATTGGACAGACTTGATTTTATAAACATTATTAGCATTATTATTATTATTGATAGGAGAGCCTGCCTCTCATGTGTGTTCAAAATTGACAATTATAGGAGTTTAAGGTACTCTCTATATCCAAGCAAACATATAGAGAAAATCTGGCATAACTTGAATTAGTAATATTACATAAAATGAAATCAACCCATCTAATGCAGCAAAGCCCTTATAACTTTAAGAAGAAAAACGCTTGGTGTTCCTAAACATTAAAACAAAATTTTACATGAATATAAAACCTACCTTAGATTTGGTAACTAGAAATTCCTCTGTTTCTGAGGCCACAAAAATTTCTATGCAAAGGAACTTAGTTATATAATTACTACACAGTAAACTAATAATGATTACAACTGTTAAAGTTGATGATCCATTTTAAATGTGCAGGAAAAAATGGAGAAATACAAGTTTCACTGAAACTGCTTGTAAAAAGCACCACTGCTAAGACCGACGTCAGTCTTAAAAGTTTCAGAGACCATGTAATTAGATCTCCCAATAACCCCCAAAGTCTATTATACCACTGATTTCAAATATACTCTTCCTGAAATAATCTTCCTTGCAATGGGATGGCTTATATTACTAAAGAGAAGGGGAAAGACCTATGTAGAGCTGAGAAAATGTTGGCGACGCACAAACTGCTTTGTGCAAGTTTGAACAGAACATTGTGCTTCATTCCAGCTTAGAAAGGTCAATAAGGAAATCCCAGGGACATTGTCTTTACAGGTGCAGTGTTAGATTTGAAACTGTAGTGTATAAACAAATATAAAAGCATATGTGAAATATCCAGTCTCCTCTTGGGATTTTTGGCACGCACGCACATGCACCTGGCGAGAGGTTTAAGCTGCCAGGTCTGGGACTCAAACCACAGTTGACTATGGGAGAGTCCAGCAACATAACCATTATGCCACCTGCTGGTCCCAACAGTTTTTATTTTTAAAACAACTAGTCACTTAAAACATTTCAGTAATTTTCACACAGTATTTTCTATTCTAACTAACTTGGTGCATTTGATAAAACAAGAACTCACACATACTTCAGTAAACTAAGCATCATTTTTTTAGAGTCTATTTTTGGTAGCTAAGCATTATTTTATAGTATCTCT